CACACACACACACACACACACACACACACACACACACACACACACACACACACACACACACACACACGCACGCACGTTCCCAGCTGGGCCCTGGGAGAGTCCTGTTCTGCTTAGGGCACCTGCAAAAATCGCAGAACTTCTATCCTCTCTCCCCTCCACTCTTCACCTGCTTAGTCCCATACTGAACCCAGGGCAGTGGTGGAATCCGAGGGTCTGTAATTCTGCAGCTTCTGGTTCCCCACAAACGATGGACACAAATCCCATATTCCACCCCAACAAACTCAGGACCACCAGAGGTGGGACCCCCCGCCCCCGACCGTACACACACACTGGAGGAGCAGATGCTGACCGCCCTGTAACCACATGGACTGTGACACGCGGAGGGTTCCATCGGCGCCGGGACACCTGCGGAGAGCAGCACGCACACCGCCCACGGTGCTGGCCTACCCCACTGCCTGCCACACGCCCTTCAGGGCTGGCTCCTACAGCGCCTCCTCTGCGAAGTCGGCCCAGGGCTGCCTGGCTCCGGCAGTTGATGGACCCTGCCCACATCCTCTCCATAACATGGGCTGTGCTGAAGGCCATGGTGTCCCTGGACACTTGCACAAGGCCAGCCTGGCGCCCATCGACCGCCCCTCATGTCTGTGTCCAGGAGGTGCTCAGGGCAGACGGATATGCAGAATGAACACAAGCGTCCCGCCAGCGGATGCCGGGGTGGCCCTCCACATCCTCCACCAGCCCGCCACAGCCCACGCACAGAGGCCAGGGGCACGTGCGGAGAAGGGCGCACATCCCAGGCACAGGCCGGCTCCACCTGGCCCCAGGACCTGGGCCACCTATGTGGGGTGCGGGGTGGGTTCCACAGAAGCACTCCAGCCCCTGCCTACAGGATGAAGAAGCCAGTGGGAACCACAGCACAAGCCGTGTGTGTGTGTGTGTGCACGTGCACACACACACACGCATGGGCTGGGGTGGGTCAGGCTGCTCTTGGGGAGAGGGAAGCCCCGTGGGGACCTCTGCTGGCCCCGGGACTGCAGTCCTGATCAAGTAAGCTATTGCCAGGCCACCTGTGCCAGCTGGAGTACGCAAAGGACCTGCCTGTTTGGGGCCACTTCTGGCCCAGACCAACGTCCTAGTTTCCCGAGGATGGGGCCTCTGTCCCCTCCCTCAGACAGGCATTGTGTGTGTCTGTTGGGAGGTGGGGGGACGCATTTCCACAGCAGAGCCGCATCTTTGCCCAGATTCCCCCTCCTTGCCACAGGCCTGTGCTGGGGTTTCCTCCTGTCCCCCTCTTCACCTGCTAGTGGAGGAGGGGTGGGCCTATGCTGGAGGGGGTCCTGAAGTGTGGGGCACAGGGGAGGGGTTGGTGGAGCCCCTGCGAACTCCAGAGCACCTGAGATCCCCTCCTGTCCCTTCAGTGGCCCCAGCATATGCTGGTCTCTGGGCTTCGAGAAGAGAGTAGAGAGGGACCCAGAATTTTGTTTCCTGGAACAGCCCCCCTGCCCCACCCCTGCCCAGCTGATGGCGTGGGGAGAGCCTGCTCACAGTGTCCAGAACTCACCCGTGAGGATGGCCACACTGTCAAAGCAGCCGTCCAGCTTGCTGAGCAGGATGGAGAGGAAGCTGTCTGCGGCCAGCACGCTGGCGTCCCGGGTGCTCTGGTCATAGACCACCACGTCCTGCGGCTCTGCGGCCTCCACCTGGGGGCCGTGAGGGAGGAGGTCAGGGCACCGCCAGGTACCTGCCACCTGCTGGCCGGCCCATCCCCGCTGCGGCAGTCCAGATGGAAAGGAGGGGCTGCTGCCACCCTGGTGCCTCAGGGGAGGCAAGCTCCCAGCTGAGGTTCACACCTGGACAGGTATAGATGCCGACAGCCACACAGGTGGACCCTCAGAGCTGGTAGGGCAGGGGACACTCACCCCCATGCAGCCTGCCCCGCGCACACTCACACCGTGAAGGTGACTGAGACGGGGGTAAAGGCAGTGGGGCGCCCCAGGAGGCGCACACAGGTGCCCGCAAGGGCAGGGGCACGTGGATGAGGCCTGGACGGGCTCCCAGGGCACCTGAGGGAAACAGGCTCTTCCTCAGGCATGTGTCGGTGGTTTTGAAGGTGGGGTGCCTCTGTGTCTGGGCTCCTTCCCTCCCCAGCTAGTGACTGGGAAACTGAGGACGCAGCAAGCCTTCCCTGCCCGCCCCATAAGGATTCAGGCAGCAGCCGGAGGCTGGGGCTCCACCTGCTCTCCCCGCCCGCAGTGCCCGCTGGGGCCCAGATGTTGAGTGGCTCCTGCGCAGAGAGCAGCTGATGCCCCCGCCCCCAAGCACACACAGCCCTTAAGCCAGCTGAGCTGCCAACCCTGGGCCAGATGATGTCACCAGCGGCCAATGGGAGGGCGCTCTGGCCGGGAGTCCTCGCTGGGGGTTATTAATCACCGGATTCCCCTCATTGGAGGCTGTGGGGAGCCTGTGCTGCCTCGGGGTGGGAGGCTCCCAGCTGGGTCCTCTCACGTCCCAGCCTGGCACGGGGCAGGGCCTGTGACCAGGACCCCTCCCTCAGCCTCCGGGCTGCTGGGCATGCCACCCCTCCCCCAGCGGAGGAGCCACTGCCTTCCCAGGTCCCTGGCCCAGCAGCCCGACCCCAGCACTGGACTTCATACTCCTGGGGGGGGGGGAGGCAGAGGCAGGGCTGTCTACTGCAGGCGACCTGAGCCATTCTTGGGGGCCACAGAGAGAATTCCTGGTCCTCCAGACTCCAGAGGGGAAAGAACGGGGGGCTGAGAACACAGACTGCTTGTGTGAGCTCCTTGGCTACCCCTCCCATCCTCTTCCAAGTCCTCACAGCAGTCAGAGTGCGCCTGAGCCGGCTGCCTACCCCCCCGCCCACCCCCCGCTGCCCCTCTGCCGCCTGCCCGCCCCTACCTGGCTGCCCCTGTGCAGGCCACACACGTCCCCTCATCCAGTGCCCCCAGAGCCCTCG